GGGTTTAGGTTTTTAGGTTTGCCAAACAGTCCCTCGAAGTATATTTCTTACTCTGCCCCCTTTCCTCTGCGCTCTTACCCTCCCATGGCTTCTGCTGTGTTCGTTACCGCTCCCAAGGCATTCACTTTAAGCAAGCCCAACTCTCCTTCAGTCTCCACCCAGAGATTATCAGGTCAGTTGTCTTTTTTTCTTTTCTTTTTTTTAATTGGTTGATTAATTGGAGTTAGTTTCTGCAAATTTGTTTGATGAATATGGGTATTGAGCAGGGTGGCGAAGAAATTCTCTGAGAATCAATGCAGTCGCCAAGAAATGGGAACCCACCAAGGTTGTTCCCCAAGCTGATAGGGTTCTTATCCGTCTTGAACAACTACCCGAGGTTTGCCCTTCATTCTTTGTTAAGCTCACATGTTTTCTTTTCTCTTCTTAAAAGAATGGAGCTTTATGTGAATTTGAAATTGTGGTTTCAATGGAATTTAGTTCTTTGTTGATTTACAGCACAAAGGTTCAAATTTTGTTTGTAGAAATCAAATTGTTCTTCTGCTTGAACACTGACAAGAGAACATATCAAAATTCAAAATGGGTTATGGGGTATTAGTGAAAATTCATCTGTTGGGGTTCCTTAAAATATAGAAATCTTGATTTTATCCTTGAGTGAAAAAATATGGTAAATAGGCAAATGGGAATACAGTTTGACACACCAACCAAGTTTCATCTTCCACGTGTACATATTGTTTGCAACATTAATGTAATGTATGTCTTCAAAGTGGAGAATTTCTGTCTTAGATTTGTATATTCATGACTTCAGAAATCCGCTGGTGGAGTGTTGCTGCCAAAGTCAGCTGTTAAGTATGAGAGGTATCTAATGGGAGAGGTAAGATAATAAGACTCCTTGTGCTTATTTATTTATTTATTTATTTATTTATCTTTGCATTTTGACTGCTTAGAGGATTTATTAGTTATGCCATTGCATTGTCTCCGTATCAGATACTCTCTGTTGGTGCTGAGGTTGGAGAAGTAGAGCCTGGAAAGAAGGTAAATTTTGCCTGTGGTTTCAATATTCTAAGCAATCTTTTTCTTTCTGACATAGAATGGTGTCATCTTACGATGTACTTATGCTCCTAATATCATCAAAAATTTGTTCATGCTTGTGCAGGTTATTTTCTCAGACATAAATGCGTATGAGGTTAGTGGCATTTTCCTCTCTCTTGGAGTGGATAATGCAACAAATGTTAATTGTGCTTAGTGCTTCTAAGCAAGATGTTGATTGAAGCCAACGCTTGTTATTTGTTTTTACTACCATCTGCCACTTTACTTTTATTTGATGCGTTCTGAATGCCCTTCACGTTGGTTTTCCTACAGGTTGATTTGGGAACAGGCACAAAACACTGCTTCTGTAAAGAGAGTGACCTGTTGGCAACGGTGGAATGATTCTTCCACACTTTGTCAAGATTTAGAACAGGCTATATTTGATTGAAACATTTTGTATGAGTTGGTTTTTCCTGGGGCTAAGCTTTACATTACATTTTCATGGGAACAAAGGAATAACTGTTCTCTGTATTCTGAAATACTTGCTAATCAGACATTTGCAGCAATCAGTCATCTTTTGTGTTGTCTAGTATTTCATCTAAAGATTGGCAATAAGCCAAAAACATTGTTTTAAAATTTAGCAGAATAACATTGATTCAACAATGTGAAACGTACATTAATTGGTGTTCTAAACAAAACAAACAAAAAATCTGGAAAATGTCAGAATTCAAAGAGGCGCAATTCTATCATTCCCTCTTTCCTCTTCGGTGAATACCAAGCAACAACCTTTCCAGATCGTAGAAGCCTCAAGGAGTAGTTAAGGCTTAAAATCAGATCCTCCATAACCGGGCCACGCTCTCCTGATGAGGGACCAAGCAGAAACTTTGAATCTAACCGAACTACAACCGGACCAGCAACCTGCACACACCATGTGTGAACACTGTTATCACCCTCAATTTATAAGGATAACTTTTTTGGAAAAGTTTCTTCAACAAATTTGATCTCAAGTGTTATATGTATCATTATAGATTTGCAACTGATACTGTGCCACTTTCTAAATCGAGAGAAACAAAGAAAAAGTTTTTGACAAAATTACCTGCTGTTGAAAGATCAAATTTAATCTGGGATATGCTATGTTATTACTAACTGAAGACCCCTTGAAAATTCTTTTGGCCAAAGCTGAAACAGAACACATGTCCAGACGAGCATCTACCCTAGTAAGATCACCATATTTGTTCCTGAATCTCCCATGCTGGAAAGTGTAGCAAACTGAGCCAAATAAATCAGCACTAAAAGGAATTCTCTTCTTAGTAACAGTAGGAAGATCCCCCTTTCCTTCTGATTCAATGCTTATGGAGCCCTTCTTTCCCCCAAACCAGGCTGCACACATGCCACCTAACATGTGGTTGATCAAGAAAGTAAGAAACTAATGAAAAGGGGAAGCCTTCTCAAGAGAATATGCAAAGACAAAGGCGGACAAATTTAAGTCTAAAAACCATGATCAGAACTTGCCAACTTGTTGCCCCAAAGACACCAAGTGATTGTGTTTATATACCATCAGTTTACCTAGATTAACCTAAAGAACAGTTCTAAATCAATCTCGCTTCAAATTTGCCATCATTTTTACTTGTTTCTACATTGATGAAATACTCCAAACCATCCCATTACACCAAAGGCTACCGACAAGATAACTTTTATTTTTCATGCAATTTGTATAAATCTATCACTAAGTTTTCACTCTCTCATTTCATTCAGCAATCTCATTTGGATGAGGGATAATGTCGAACTTTTGGAGAAATAACTCAATTTTCGCTTCAAGTTTTACTCCAAAACACATTCAGCATTCCCTCTAGTAAGCAAGATAGAAGATAAACCAACTTTCTTGAATTAAATGCTTCTATGACTTTGGCCCCCAAAAAAGAAAAAAAAAAAGAAGCTTCTATGACACAATAAATATAAAATGATATAAAATAATAGACAAGGGTACTTCATAATAGAATTAAAAACATTACTCTAAAGGGAGGTGGAGAGGGAGAGAAGGAACAACAGAGAAGCAGACACGTAAAACCAATTCCAAAACTGACCATCAGCACAAAGGAGTAACTTTTCAATACAGAATGCTCACCTACAAGACCAGATATTGCGGCATGAGGTTCACTAAGACAAAGATCATAGGATGGAGGTTGTAAAAAAACATCATTATCTATCTTTACTACCATATCCTCAAATCTTGTCTCTTGCCTCCAGAATTCCTTTCCCTTTTCATAAGAGAAAGCAGCCTTTGCACACAATCCAGGCCTTAATGCTGAAGGTGATTCACCATCCAAGGAATTAAAAGCCTGGGGGTTGCCACTGTTCTGGTGTATACCAAAACGATAGTTGAATCCAGAATCGGATTCCAATGATGACATATCTAAGGATATCGACACAGGAACATCCCAGTAATTTCCTTTGTGATCTATATATAGCTCAGGCCATCCAGCCTCCAGTGTGAGATCATGATCACGAAGCTGCAACACATATAAGCAGTGGATTAAAGAAAAAACTCCTATTTATTACTATGAAATCACAAAGAGTAATAAAATGAAAGCACAGAAGTTCAGCCCAGAATGTTCCATGAAGCCAACTTAAAGTTCCCTTTGACACCATTCACAAGCTTGAATGTCATAGACTTGCTAATTAAAAGCTGTCTATGAAAAACATATCCCACATGAAGAGCTACCCATTAGTTTTAGCCTAATTGGTATTCACTAATTTGTTAATACCTTGATTCTAGAATCAAGGTAAGGTTTTAAACTTCTCAAACCTCTGTGACGGGTAAGAATTCCAACCAAACAAAGGGCTACAACTGATTATTGGCAATTCTGTTTGCTTCAATTTCACTTAAATGTGTAACAACTAGACATTGGATTTAAAAAGCAAACTCATCTAGATACTCATAATTGAAATTTTTCATCAAAATAACCCTACAACTCTTAGATTCACTTGATGTACACCTATTTTAACAAAGAAGAAGGTGAATTAACAATCTCTAACATGTAGCTAATAGCCAAAGACAAGTATGCCTCCAAAATAGAACAACCTCCAAATGATCTGACCAGACATCCTTGGACATCATCATCTACTACTTAACAGAGAGTCTGCCCTTACTGGCAGAAAGGTAAATTACATGCAAGACTTCCATTAACATTAAGAAGAAAATTATGAAAATTGAAAAGGGAAATGGAGTTGAAAGGCATACCCTGTGATAAAGCATCAATTTGCTGCGAAATCCCTCTTTTTCACCATGTGATTCTCCGCTTAATAATAAGGATGTGGCAGAAGACAAGGCAAGCTGGGTGCAGAGAGCAACCGAATACAGAGACTTGTCCAAAAAACACTTTGCTGCTTCTCTAAAAACATGGAGCTTCCTTTCTCCCCCCTTAGAAAGCTCTTCTTTAATTGAAGAAACCAGTTTCTTAGGGCGGATTTGACCAATCGTTGCAACCCACCTAAAAATGCAACAGTCAATGCTAAGCATTTGAGACTCCAATCTAAACTAGCTAAAAAAACCAATTATAATTCCATTATGCGTTTCCCCACATTTTGCTACGGCATAATTTGAACTTTATACAAAGAAAATGAAACCCAGTAAGGCAAATGTAGAGAATGGTCTAATACCAGTTTTCTATGGAAGCTCTGAACAAGAAAGACTGAAGAGCCAAAGACCCCAACTCCTTGCGCGAAGGAGGAGAGAAAGAAGGAATGATACCCAAAGGAAACCCATTTCCGAGAAATGAAAGTTGCTGAACTCTGAGTTCTCTGCTGGCTCGAGCCCCGTCGAGCGGGAATGGATCCCCCGGCACCGACTTGGCAGAGCCCTCAATTGTCCGTGGGGTGGCTATCCTCTGGTCCCAGAATGCAGAGTCGATTGCCGAGCTCAGCTTCGCCATTTTTCCACTATATATATCTTCGAGACAGTATCGCCGGTTTTGTTCGCCGGCTCGCCGGATTTCCTTATCTCTGCGTTGATTTCGGTGCGCTTTGGGAACTAACAAAAAAAAATAAAGGAAATGGGGTTTTGGACTTTGGTTTTGGGTTGGGTTTTAAAGCGAGGAGGAAGATGATTTCGTGGACCCAGGTTGCCACGTGGAAATTAAATTTATCATTATCTAATTTAAAAAATATTTATACAATTCCAACTATACTTAACAATAAGACAAAGAATTCATTTAATTATGCCAGAAAGGAGATAAATAAATTTCGGAGAAAAAAAAATTGAAACCTATAAATCATTTTTAAAACCTAACACTCCTTTTGGATAGAGGGAGTTGAAGGAGAAACCGAGAAAGGGAGGAGAATAGAAGTCTCTCTCCTTTTTTTTAAAAATAAAATCGTAGAAGAAAGGAAAGGGGAGAGAAAGGAAAGGGAAAGGAGAAGAAGTGAACGGAAGGTTAAAGTTAATATTAATTTTGTTTAAATAAATAAAATTAAAAGAGAATAAATGATAATATTTTTATTTATTTTTAAAAATAAATAAAAATAAAATTTTAAATTGTATTAATTAAATAAATAATTAAATAAAATGTTTATATATTTATTTTAAAAAAAATTAAAAAAATAAATGAATATATATCATTTGTCATAATTCCTTGAAAATAATGAAGTAAAAGAAGTTCTATCTCCTTTCATTTTTTTTCCCGCATGTTAAAATTATTAAACCAAACAAGAGAAAGGAGTCTCTCCCATTCACTCCCCTTCCCTTTCCCTCCAACTCCAATTTCTCCGATCCAAAGAGACTAAGGAGCGGACGTAGATGGAAGCATGATTAATTCCGTCCAAATTCTTTATTTTTAATTCATTCAATTTGAAGAGATTCGGTTTACGTATATTCTATTTTTTATTTTTTTAACAAAAGTAAATAAAATTTTCATTTTATCTTTAATTCTAATATATAAATTTATAAAATTTTAATTAATTTTCTTTAATTTATTTAGTTAAATTAAAAAGACATAATCTTTCCCTCCTTTTTCCATTTTTTTTTAAATTTATCTAAACAAAACTAATATCAATTCTTTACTCTCCTTTTAATCTTCTCTTTTCCCTTCCATTCTCTTTCCTTCACTATTGTTTATTAGTTTTTATCCAAACATATCCTAAAAGTAACATGAGTTGTAATTTTTTTTATTCTCTCATAATCTGCTCCAAGGCAGGTTATACAGCCTGAGTTATAATGCTCAATCATGTAATGCGCTCACTGCTGCATTTCTTGCGGATGCAGCATTTAGACGTAAACATCTAGCCGTGACGGCCAAGAATCAACAAATTGGACTCAATCGAGCACAGAGCGCAGAAGGCTGCAGGATATCATCATATCATTATCTGTGATTGACCTTATTTCTACTTAACAGGTGTATATATATATATATATATATATATATATATTCTTAGTGAACATTAATTGTGAATGCAGAATGCACTTGTCTTGCTGAAGCTATATAAAATTCTTAAATTATATACACTTCTATTTGCAGAGAATGATGAGGCATTTACGTTAGGTAATTATGGAAGATATATATGAATTGTTGTGACTTGTGACATGTTCTTTTCCCAGTGAATGAGCTTCTTACGTTAGTCATGGGAGAGTGCCTCTTCTATCTAAAGTCTCCCTATTCTTGGGTTTTTAGAACTTTCTCCTTTCACTAGTAGTCATGGATGCGAGGGCTTCATTTTAAATTGCCAAATGCAATCTTCAAAAGTAACTGTTTTCTTTTGTGAGGGGGAAGAAAAGGAAAATGGAAAGAATTTTCACCTGACAAACACACACATAAATCTCTTTTTGCTTCTACTCTTTTTCTATTCAATGTTAAAGAGATCAATGGTGATATAGCTTTATTTACTTGTAAGCAAAGATTGATATATATCTTTTCCCAAAGCATTCATTCCAAAATCAAGAATAATTTTCCAACAAACTCGATCATTCTTTATACTTCAGCAAAACCAATTCCAATCTTTAATTAGCAGGACTTTGGAAACACACCAATGTGTGTGACATCTAATCGATAACAGTTGCGTGCTACAATCTTCATGTTCCAAAAATGTACAGATAAAAACGGAAAATGTCTAGATTTTCCTTTTTTTTTTTTTTTGTCTTATATTGCACAATGGTAACCCAACCTACTTTCATGTTGTACAATTTAAACTTAAAATTTTTCATTTTTATCAATAGAAGATTACTATTTTTTTTTAAGAATTTGTCAAAAACGAACTCAAACCTGCAAAAGGAGAGGAGGAGTACACTACAATATGACAATATGCCACTTGACCGAAGGCCTGCTGCATAAAAAATTATTATTAAATTATTTAATTATTGATAAAATCATACATTTTCTCGAGTCTTCATTTTACGTAATTAATAATTTTCAGGAAGCTTTATTCACACCGTTTGCAACGACAAGCCATTATAAATCACACTTTCCTGAGGCCAAAACACAATAAACACAAGCGCCAAGAAAAGACCAAAAAAAAAAAAAAATGTTTCCTTCGTTTTCCTTCACTCTCTTTCTCCTCATCATCTTCACCTCTTTCCTCACCATTGTACCTGCCCACAATCTCATCCATCAAACCTGCAAGAAATGTGCCGAAACCGACCCAAACATTCGCTACAACTTCTGTGCCTCATCTCTTCATGCAGCTCCTCAAGCTCATTGTGCTGATAACCTACGCCAGCTCGGCATCATCTCCCTCAGGCTACTCCGGCGCAATGTAACGCAGACCAGGTCCCATATCAAGGAAATCCTCCATGACAGAAAGCTGGATCCTTTCATTAGGTCATGCCTGCTTGACTGTTTTGATTTGTATTCTAACGCAGTTCCTCTTACCAGGAAGGCCATCAAGGAATACAGGGGTAAAAGATATTACAATGTTAATATTGATGTGAGTGCAGTGATGGATACACCCACCACTTGTGAGGATGGGTTCAAGGAGAAAGAAGGTGCCGTTTCGCCATTAACCAAGAGAGATAATGACAATTTCGAGTTGTCTGCCATATCTCTTTCCATTATAAACATGCTTTCACCTTGAATGTCCCGTTTGCACGTTGTGTTTTTTCAGGGATTAATATGTTGATTGTTCTTTATTTTGTTTTAGTTGTTTTGATGAATTCGGAATTTCTATCTTTTTGAATAAGAATGGTGTATATAATATATATAGAAGCAAAGCTTGAAAGAGTGACTTCTAGTTTAATCACATAAAATCTTGCAGTTTAACACAATCTTTCTATCAGGTATCTGATTTTGGTTATGGATGATACTCAGTTTTTATGAAACACTAAATTCATTCATTTCACTGCTAGATGAACATACACAACAAGGCATTTTGTGTTTTAATTCAAATCAGATGAACAAATCATATAAACAAAGGGAAGTATGAACTAACACCGAATCATATGAGGACTAAACATGGAATGGTAGTAACTCTTGTGATGATTTGTTTTTTTTGGTCAGCAGTGTTTTTGTGATGATGATATGTGTTTCACAGAACACTATTGCTTCCAGGCTGGTGTGAGGAGATGGATTCTTGTTAAGATCCCCTTGATGCTTTTTAATAGCTTCAGCAGCAACAAAGCATGCAAAATTTTCCTTGTGCCGTGAGTGAATGTAAAGGAACGATTATGCCAAGCCTAGAAACTAGAAAGTAAGACATGAAAAGAAGGGTAACATCTTAAACGTGAAGAATGCCATTGATACAACTGATTTTATTGCAGATTAAAAATCTGAATGTGCTTGGTCTAGGACCAGGAGCATGACAAAGTCATGAAATGTGCAGGTTTACCTGACCCAACATAATCAGGAAATTTTCAAATCCCATTAGGATAATCAAATCCGTACAGACATGAACAAAAACAGGGTAGCACACTGTTTTCTCCCACATGATATTCAACAAGAGAAAATCTTGTTTAAATTAACCAGCCAACGGATGGTTATATATGTACTCGATAGCTAGATGGCATGAGTCAATCTTGTCAGCTTCCTTGTCCGGAATCTCTAGCTTGAACTCCTCTTCTAAAGCCATCACAATCTCCACGTTGTCCAAGCTATCCAAGCCCAAATCCTTCTGAAAATGCACATCAGGTGTCACCTGCAAGTGATTGTGGATGGAACTTTAATGAGAGTAGATCATACATGAAATAATTAATAACTGCTAACATGAGCCGCCATGAGGAATGAAGATGATGTTCTTTAAGATTTAACAACATTAGAGATGTATTGAACCCATCAAAGTTAACATAGATATTTCAAGATAAACAGTGAATCAGAATATTAAGCAGTGAATAGAAGAGGCACAGTATGAGAATAGGTACAGGAGTATCAGCTAACCTGAAGAAGAATACCTTGTATGTTATGACAATCAAAATATAATGAAACAGAGAAGATAAATTAGCAGATCATTCATAGATCCCCTGGAAACCAAATTAATTTTTTAAGTGTTTTATGATCATTACAAAGTGGAAATATCACCACCATCAATAATGGGCGAAAAAATTCTAGAAGTTCATTTACTGTTATCAAAAACATATACCACTTATTGTCATGAAGAACCTACCCTAACACTTAAAGTCAGGAAAGTCATCTACTTAGCCCTCAACTCTGAATTACCCCTTTGAACCATAAAATGCCTCTTAATGTTAACTATAATCCTCAGCTTTCACTAATTTGAAATAACAACTCTACTTTCCGTGCCAGCAACCTCTATTCAATTCAATCTTAATCTTGATCCTTTCAGAAAATGCATCATGGAGATGCAGCAAAACATCATAAATCCATAGTACAAAACTTTGCTTTCAAAGGACACAGCTTGAGATTAGGCCAAAAAAAAATTTCCCTAACAATATAACCCTTCTCCTTAACATACACTTTATCTGCAGGACCAAATTGTAACAAGCTAATCGGAACCCAGATAAACCAATCCCCTAAAAAACTATGAGAATATACATCAATCAAAGTAATTAAAGAATAATACTTCCGATCCTTGACAATATTCAAGAACCCCAAGTGACAAGAATACTTAACATATAAGAGAAAATAGTTGAATCCGATGAATTGCGAAGACATTGCGATTTACCTAGCGTCCAACCAACTAAAATAACAAATAATTGAGAAATAATTATCCCCCTTTTCTCATTTTTCAGCATTTTCCACGAAACCAAGCCGGGAATTTCGTAAAGATAGAAAAAAGATGGAGTGAGATTGAGAGGATAACCTGGGCAGGATCGACTTTGGGGAAGCTCTTCACGATGGAGAGGACTCTCTCGATCACCTCTTCTTTCGTTAGATGATCGTCGTGCGATGAAAAGAACCGGAGGGAGCTGCAGAGACTCCATTGCAGTGGCTTTGGTCCGGTGGCAGTTAGGGTTCCGACGGGTACTCGAATGTGGCGGAGGACGGCTGCTCTCAGTGCCATTTCCTTTTCTCGACGCTCGACTGACTCTCTGCAAGCAAAACGCCTAACGGTGAATTAGCGGAGTTAAAAAAAACGCAGCGTAGGTAGATCATCATCTGGCAAAAACCTGGTTGAGCCCTTCATCTTACCAAGTTTGAAGGTTTGAACCCCTTATTTTATCCTACGACACATTTAACCCCTTAATTTATTAGATTTATAGGTTTTAACCTCTTACTTATTAAAATTGAAGAAAATAACCATCATTTTATACTGACTGTTAATTCTGTTAGTTGAAAGTAAGTTTTTGTACATGTGACACTTTAGATAATGAAAATTCTAAAGTGGAAGGACTTAAAGGAAACTAAAAAAGTCTCTTTTTGGTCCTATTTTTTGGTCCTTCTATTTTAAAAAGATCCCTTTTTAGTCATTTTACTTTGGAATTTTCGTTATCTAATATGCTACTTGTGCAAAAAGGTAACATATTGACTAAAAAAGAGTTTTCTTAAATTGAGAAACTAAAAACAGACTTTTTAATAAATTGAACTAAAATGAGATTTTAACCTCTTTTTTTTTATAATTATTGGTATCTTAATTGCTAAGAATGACTAACTTTTGGCAATCTCATAAAGAAGAAAAGCAAGAAAGTGAAAAACAAGGACCTCAGTCAAATTCTGACCAAATGAAATATGATGATATATGATTCAAGTGGGATTTATGTTTTATTATGTTTATATTGGACATCCTAATATTTTCATGTTTTTCCTGATATTTTTTGCGTTTTAATTTTTTTCTTAAAAAAAAAAAACACTACATGCTAATGGTTTATTTTACTTGTTCCATTTTTTTTAAAAAATCAAATGATGAGATATATAATCGAAATAATTTATTTCCTTATCCCTCTCCACTCATTTTAAAAATTCAAATTCAAAATCTATAATTTAAAATTTCAAGTTTTTAATTATTAAAATACACCCTCAAGGTTTTACTTATTCACTTTTTATCTAACATGATTATAAGTAAAATTATAAAGATTTATATAAAAATATACTTATTATTAATTAAAATTTTATATTTACCTTTATTAAGAGTAGTTGATAAGTTTTCTCAAAAAAAAAAAAAAAGAGTAGTTGATAAGTTAAGATGTGTTATTTTTAAAGATAGAGTAATTATTAACAAAGCAAAATTTATAAAAACTTGAATATTATGTTAAAAATTAAACTTAATAAATAAATTAATCACCTCCTTTTAATGTGTCACTAGTAAAATACACTAAATGTAAATTTTAAAACATTGGCATTTGGCACCAAATGCAAATACCTCAACCTCACCATAAATGATAAACCACCTCAACAAT